CCCCAAAACCCCAAAACCCCAAAACCCCAAAACCCCAGCCCGATGTCTCAGGTTTAATTTAATATCCCTGGTTGGTAATGGCTGTGCTAAATTCGATAAACGACAGAATCTATGGGGGATCATGACAATTTCTAAAATTATGACCACTTTTATGCTCTAATGTCGACATCATTAAGTCCATACTTGTCCTGGATATCTCTGATTTGGCTCTCTTGGACGTTACACCCACCTACATATATGATCTGAAGACTCTGCTTTAAGTCTTGGGTCGAAGCTAGCCCTTGGATTAGATTTATGAACTCTTGAGGGTTACTTTTCCAATCAGAAAACTTGGAGTTTCCTCAAGAACAGAAGTCAAGCTTTTTGATCTTTGTATTTCTCAAAGACTGAGAAAAGTTGAGGATTGAGGGAATTGAGAGTTTACAAAAAATTACATTTATTCTTTGAACATGCTTATATGAAGCCATGATTCTCTTGAACTGGGGAGCATTGATTTCAAAATAAAAGATCTTTATTTTATTCAACACTCTAGGACTGACCTTTGTAATGGACTTCAGGACATTAGAAATGCTCCAAGAGGGATATCAATTAGAGTTGATGGATAAATAAGTAATCTGTTGAGGATATGAGAGGTCAAGAAAGCCAAAATAGTTTTTATTTTTCGCTTTCACTTGCAACAAATTAAAATTATCAGTAGTTAATGATTCAAAAAAGTTAGTTTTCTCTATAAAATTTCTGTCTAAATAACGGTTAAATTTAAAATTCATATGTGAAACTTTATTTTATAATATATTCATACAAAGGATAGAGATCATCAATTTCTGCTTGAAAACTGCGGAAATAATAAGCGTTTCTGACAATTTCTTCGACTTGGTTGTTTTCATCGGAAGTCATTCTCTCCACTCTAGAATATTAGAGATATCAAACAAAATTCGATGAAAGTTCAGTTATGGCAACTAAGAGAAGCAACTATTTGCATTTCACTTGGCTTAGATCGGGGAACTGCCAATTAGCAATAAAAGAATATCTTTCATCCCTAGTATCGTCTGAGGTTGTTTATAATCAAAATATGAGAGGTTTGTTAAATCCCTCTTGGCATAAAATTCTAACTCCAGATCTTAAATAGCACCACAGAGGACTATTTGAGGATCTACAGTCTGGAGGTTTTGCAAATGACCTGAAATCTGCCAAATTAGGGTTGTTTCACTTTATAGATGCCATATACACTTGAATAAGGACTGTAAAAGATTGGATACATTTGCCCACAGTTCAAAACTTCTATTTAAAAGTGTACCCAAAGACCACTCAGATATTAGTGTTCTTAGAAACTTCAAATGAAGTCTTAAAAGATATACTCTAAGGTACCCTCTTAGGTCTGGGGCTAGCTTACTCAGCAATGCGAGTATTGTCTCTCTTCACTGACTCGACCAAATTCTCCATTTATTATGATAAATTATTATATTTTCTATATTGGCCGAAAGGTGTGGGGTTTTGGGGTTTTGGGGTTTTGGGG